TAGGTGAAACGTTGAGTTTTATAAGGGCACCACGGAGTGAGCAGCCCCTTCCCACCCAGCCCCACCCCCCACCCAGCCCCACCCTCCCTACCTAGCCCCTCCCCACCCTCCCCACCCAGCCCCACCCTCCCCACCCTCCCATCCTAGCCCCTCCCCACCCTCCCCTCCCCACCCAGCCGCTCCCTCACCACCCAGCCCCTCCCCACCATCCCCTTTCCACCCAGCCCCACCCCTCCCATTTTTGGATGCACGACGTACGGACGGACACAATAATCCTCTGTGGGCTAGTGTAACCATGAGGTTCCTACCAGTATCATCATAAACGTTATTGGGTTAGATCACCACCACGATATGGCAAATCGCCCGATGATGCTGGTTGATGTAATTACCAGCGAAACGTCGTACAACTCAAATTGTAAACGTCGTGGACTTGAAGTGCATTGGCTCTTCTTCTTAACCTGGGGCGTGCACGGGCACCTCAGTTACAACTTAACTTTGTTTCATCAAACCCCTATGCGTTCATTATTAACATTGTAAAATAAAATAAAAATGTCACGCTTGAGAGCCAAAAGGTGTACAAGGCTGCATGTAAAGGTGTAGATACGCACCACTCATAACCACCAAGTCTATTCAGCACCACGGCGTTAGAGTCAGTGGCCTGGATCCTCTTTGTTGCGAGGTGTGAGTTTGAGAAGTGAGGGGCCGGTTCACGTGGAGTTGGTGTTGGTGGTGGGGGTGGGGGGGCGGTCAGTACCCCCAGCACGACCACGGGAGGCAGCATGCCAGACGGGTGCGAGTGCGAGCGAGTGCCGGTGAGTGTGTGTCTGTATGTGTGTCTGTGTGTGTGTGGGGAGCGGTGGTGTAGCGGTTAGCGCGCTACACTATGAACCCGGCGACCCTGCTTCGATTCTCGCTCACGGCCAACACCGGTGATGGTTACTGGGCCTCCCCTAGGTCGAATCGGTCTCAAATGAGTACCTGGTGCGGTGTGTAAACATCGCCGCTGGGGAGACAAAGGCGGTCGGGCGTGGTGCTGGCCACTCACTCCCCTCGTGTACCGTTCCGGCCTTTATAGGTGCTCGCTAACAGCGCTTGCCCCAACAGTCTGTTAAGGCTACACGGGGGATCTTATTTGTCCACCTCCGAGTAGCACGGTTGGCAATGTACGGTGCGTAAGAAGTTCACCATACATACACACACACACGTGTGTTTGCGCTACGAACCCGGTGACCCGAGTTCGATTCCCGCTCACGGCCAACGTCAGTGACGAATATTCTGAACCAGTTCAGGACCTCCTGTAGATCGACTCGGCCTTAATGAGTGCGGTGTGAAACTATCAGCGCCGAGGAAGACAAAGGCGGCCGGGCGTGTGCCGTGCTGGTCTTCATAGGTGCTGGATAAAAGCTGCATGTAATTGTAGCTCTTATCTGTGTGAATAAATGAATATATATATATGTTTGTATGTCTATCTGTGTGTATATATATGTACGCATGTCCGTAAGTATTTGTCTTTCTACGGGGATACAAAAGCGGTCGGGCGTGCGGGCGTGGTCCTGACCACCCACTGACCCCCACCCGCTCGTGTGCCGTGCCGGACCTTCATAGAGTGTCTCCTGCAGTCTACACGGGGAGACGGGGGGGGGGGAGTCTTTGTCTTTGTCTGCACGTGTGTGTGTCTGCGTGTCTCTCTCTCTCTGTGTCTCTGCGTGTGGGGAGCGGTGGTGTAGCGGTTAGCGCTACGCTGCGCTACGAACCCGGCGGCCCGAGTTCGATTCCCGCTCACGGCGAAAATCAGTGACGATTATCTGAACCGATCCTGGGCCTCCCCTAGGTCGACTCAGCCTCAAATGAGTTCCTGGTGCGGTGTGTAAAGATCGCCACTAGGGAGACAAAGGCCGGGCGTGGTGTTGGCCACCCACCCCCTCGTGCGCCGTGCTGGCCTTCATAGGTGCTCGCTAATAGCACTTGCCCCAACAGTTTGTTGAGGCTATATGGGGGTTCTTTGTCTTTGTCCATGCGTGTGTCCCTGTGTGTGTCTCTGTGTGTCTCTGTGTGTGTGTCTCTGTGTCTCTGTGTGTGTCTCTGTGTGTCCCTGCGTGTGTCTCTGTGTGTGTGTCTCTGTGTGTGTGTGTCTCTGTGTGTCTCTCTGTGTGTCTCTCTGTGTGTGTCCCTGCGTGTGTCCCGGCCTCGCCTGCTCAATGCAGATCCCAGAGATGCTATCAAGAAGGAAGCCATTTCCCAGATCCATCAAGCAATTTGTTGTAATATCCGGTAGTGTCACTACCCCCGCCCCCCTCTCCCCCCCCCGAGCCCCCCCCGAGCCCCCCCCCCAATAAAATCCCGCACCCCTCCCCTAACCCACCAGCCCCCCCCCCCCCACGCCGCCCCCCCCCCCCACCCCTCTCCTTCTCATTTCCTCGCCGTCTCCCCACCTCGCTCATGAATCACGGTTTATGAATTCAATTTATAGGCAGAGAAATTTTCAATTTGAGCGCCTGGATCATTATGGGACAGTGTAAATTGTTTTTTTGCTCTATTATGCAGCGGGTCCCATCATTTTTCTTTCTAATTACGAAGGTGTCAGTCCGGGCTGTCATCCCGGCACTGATTTTCAATTTAAGTGATCATCAGCCACTCATTTCCCCATTTGATAAATTGTTGGAGGCGGCTGCGCATTGGCGGCAGAATGCTAATAACGGCAGCACCCATACCTGCACACGTGTCCCGCGCGAAGCTCCCAGGCTAATTTTTCATTTTTATCCCCCACACTCTGCCCCCCCCCTACCCACTGCCCCCCCCAAAAACTCCCCCGCTCCCCCCGTACCTCCTCCCCCTCCTGAATCCTCATTCACCCACCGCGTCCCTCCCTCCCCTCTCTCCCCTCCCCTCTCTCCCCTCCCTCCATACGCAGCCCCACCCGCCTGCGTTTATATTAGCCTGGTCCATACGGGATGTGGCGTGCGCGCGCGCGCGCGCGCGCGTCCGTGTCTCTGTCGGTGTGTGTCCATGGGGGAGCGGTGGTGCAGCGGTTAGCGCGCGGCGCGCGACGAACCCCGGCGACACGGGTTCGATTCCCGCTCACGGCCAACACCGGTGACGATTATCTGAGCCGGTTCTGGGCCTCCCCTAGGTCGACTCGGCCTCAAATGAGTACCTGGTGCGGTGTGTAAACATCGCCACTGGGGAGACAAAGGCGGTCGGGCGTGGTGCTGGTTACCCAACCCCTCGTGTGCCGTCCTGGCCTTCATAGGTGCTACTCGCTAACAGCACTTGCCCCAACAGTCTGTTGAGGCTATACGGGTGATCTTTGTGTGTATGTGGGGAGCGGTGGTGTAGCGGTTGTCGCGCTGCGCTGTGAACCCGGCGTCCTTGGTTCGATTCCCACTCACGGTCACAAGCGGTGACGATTATCTGCACCGGTTCTAGGCCACTAGGGAGACAAAGGCGGCCGGGCGTGGTTTTCGGCACCCACCCCGTGCGCCGTGCCGGCCCTTAATAGGTGCTCGCTAACAGCACTTGCCCTAAGAGTCTCTTTAAGGCTACACGGGGGATCTTTGTCTTTTGGCGGAGTGGTTGGCGCACTGCGCAACGACCCGAGTTCGATTCCCGGCCACGGCTAACATCGGGTGCTCGGTGTGTGTGTGTGTGTGCGAGTTTATCACTGGGGAGACAAAGGCGGTCGGGTGTGGAGTCTTGTCACCCCCCCCCCCCCCCCACTCCTCGTTTTCAGTTGCGGTCTTCATGGGGGTGCTACTCGCGAACAGCACTTGCCCCTACCAGTCCACGTAGGCTACACGGGGTATCTTTGTTGTTGTTGTCTTTGAAGCATCATTGTGTGTGTGTGTAATTGTGGTTGTTTGTGCGCGCGCGTGTGTGTGTTTATGAGCGTTAGTGCACGCTGCGGTTAAAGTGGTGGGGGTGGGTGGGTGATCGTGGTGATGGGGGGAACGGAGGGGTGGGGTGATGGGGGAGGGAGGGGTGATGGGGGAGGGAGGGGTAATGGGGGAGGGAGGGGGGGTGATGGGGGTGATGGGAGAGGGAGGGGTGATGGGGGAGGGAGGGAGGGTAATGGGGAGGGAGGGGAGGGGTGATGGGGGAACGGAAGGGGAGGGGTGATGGGGGAGGGAGGAGATGGGGGATGGAGGGGAGGGGTGTGAATGAGCCCCAGGGCGTGTGTGGAAGCGGGGAGGAGGAGGAGGGGAGAGAGTGTGGGGGGAGAGCGAACTGGGTGACGGCACACACTCTCTCTCCATTCATCAACACTCTCCCTCCTCGCAATTACCACCTCCCCCCCCCACCCTCTCGCCGGGTGGGCAGCCCCTCCCCCTCCCCCCACGCACATTACAACGCTCCCAATTATGAAATCGTAGCTTAATTAATAGTAATTGAGTTGCAAAAACATGCTTTATTCTGCCTTAATGGAAACAAATTCGCGAAAATTAATTATCACTCTTCATTCTGTAACGCGCTAGTTCGCCTATCGCTCGCTCCCCCCTCTCTCTCCCCCCTCTCTCTATCCCCCTCTCTCCTTTTCTCTCCCCCCTCGCTCTCTCCCCCCTCTCTTCTTCCCTCTTTCTCCCCCCCCCCCCCTCGCTCTCTCCCCCCTCTCTCCCCCCTCTCTCTTTCTCCCCCTCGCTCTCCCCCTCGCTGTCCTTCCCGTGCATCTCTCGCCAAAGCAATGTAGGGGAGAGTTCGGAGAGTCAAGGGAGATGGCTTGGATGTGGATGGGAGAGTTAGGAGAGCAAAAAGGAGATGATGGAGACGCAGAGGGGGGTGAGTTTCGAGAGTAAAGGGAGATGCGGAGGAGAGTAAAGAGGGGAGAGTTCGGGCGAAAATGCACGTGAGTTTGTACAGCGCCTTTCTCGATCCACTGCTGGATGAGGCCGTCCAACACTGCATCCTTATCACATAGAAAACACGCAAGTCCGACGTTTTAGGTGATGATCCTCATTCAAATCTGGGGTAAAGCTGGTGGCAACGTTTTTCACGTTTCGGTGTCTTCAGTGATCCATGTCAAAGTAGAATGTCTACACACGGGGATTGGACCGGGGGAGAGGCCCAGGACCGGTTCAGATATTCGCCACTGATGTTAGCCGTGAGCGGGAATCGAACCCAGGTGGAGCGGGTTCACGACGCAGGGTGTGTGTGTGTTAAACACGTTCCAAAGACAAGGATACCCCAGTCATAGCCTTAACAGACTGTTGGGGCAAGTGCTGTTAGCGAGCAGCACCTATGAAGGCCGGCACGGCACACCAGTGTTAGTGTACGGTGCTTTTTCTGCAATATTTTGCTGTCTTTTCTTGGATTTTCTGTTTGCACATAGTCACATAGTCACTTTAAGATGTTTTCTGGTTCATGTTTTTGTTTTTTGTTTGTTGCGGTTGCACCCGATTCAAGATCCGAATGGCTCACAGGGCTATACCCAATAAATTAACTTGAACTTGAACCAAAAGTGGTGGGCGGCCAGCACCATCCCCAGCCGCCTTTGTCTCCCTAGTGGCGATGCCTACACACTGCACCAGGTGCTCGTTCGAGGCGGAGTCAACAGAGACGTGAGCACAGACACGCAAGCCACTAAGTGGCGGGGCGACGTCGCCCCTGCGCTTGTGCCAGCCTAGGTGCACTTCGTGAGGCTATTGGGTGAAGTGTGGAAGGCTCTGGCTGCCGGCAGGAGGAGGTCATGGGACAGACCCTGCAGGTGGCATGGGTTGACTGCTGTGCCAGGCTAGGTGCAGGAGGAGGTCACGGGACAGATCCTGCAGGTGCCATGGGTTGACTGCTGTGCCAGGCTAGGTACAAGAGGAGGAGGTCACGGGACAGACCCTGCAGGTGCCATGGGTTGACTGCTGTGCCAGGCTATGTGCAGGAGGTCACGGGACAGACCCAGGTGTCACGGGTTGACTGCTGTGCCAGGCTATGTGCAGGAGGAGGTCACGGGACAGACCCAGCAGGTACCATAGGTTGCCTGCTGTGCCATGCTATGTGCAGGAGGAGGTCACGGGACAGACCCTGCAGGTGCTATGGGTTTACTGCCGTGCCAGGCTATGTGCAGGAGGAGGAGGTCACGGGACAGACCCAGGTGCCATGGGTTGACTGCTGTGCCAGGCTATGTACAGGAGGAGGTAGGTCACGGGACAGACCCAGCAGGTGCCATGGGTTGACTGCTGTACCAGGCTATGGGCAGGAGGAGGTCACGGGACAGACCCAGCAGGTGCCATGGGTTGACTGCTGTGCCAGGCTATGTGCAGGATGAGGTCACGGGACAGACTCAGGTGCTATGGGTTTACTGCTGTACCAGGCTATGTGCAGGAGGAAGTTACGGGACAGACCCAGGTGCCATGGGTTTACTGCCGTGCCAGGCTATGTGCAGGCGCAGGTCACGGGACAGACCCAGCAGGTGCTATGCGTTGACTGCTATGCCAGGCTATGTGCAGAAGGAGGTCACGGGACAGACCCAGGTGCCATGGGTTGACTGCCGTGCCAGGCTATGTGCAGGAGGAGGTCACGGGACAGACCCAGGTGCCATGCGTTGACTGACTGAGATAACCGGCAGATGTACCACCTGCGCTCCCCACTGGGGAACAAGACAAAGACAAAGATCCCCCGTATAGGCTTTAACAGACTGTCGGGACAAGTGCTGTTAGCGAGCACCTGAGTTAAGGTTGGCACGACTTACGACTTACGAGTGGAGTTGGTGTTGGGACAGAACCAATCCCGGCCGCCTTTGTCTCCCCAGGTACTCGTCCAAAAAAGTGTTAGAACATAGGGTCCTGTACCCCCCTCCAACCTCCCACACCATCTTCACCAACCCGCAGTGACCAGCGTAGTGAAGTATGGTCAAACAGCCCCCGCGTGATCCAGCAGTGGATTGCCAGAGGGACGAGTTATAGGGCAGTAGAATATTCTCCCAACCCTGTGAAATGTCTTGGTTATTTGAGCGCACGGAGGGGTTGTTTGACCATACTTCCCCACCTTAGACCAATTCGGTTTGTCAAAGAGGTGGGCAAGTGGCCCAGGACCGCCACTGATGTTAGCCGTGGCCGGGGATCGAACTCGGTTGAAAACACACCCCCCCCCCCACCCCCCACCGTACGTGAACATATCACGATGAATGATCACGCTTGGCTACGTACGGTGCGAAATAAGTTCAACGTACAAACACAACGCTATTCACATGCTCATACAAAAGACAAAGATCCCGCGGATAGCCTGCGCGCATACTGTTGGGGCAAGTGCTGCTGCTGCTGCTATCCAGCAGCACCGTGACCCGGTATCGACCCCCCCTCCACCCACTCCTCCTCCTCCACCCCCTGCGGGAAATCGCCCGTTTGGTAGCGAATTACAGCGCTAACCACTGCGCCACCGCTCCGATCGGCATGAGCCCCTGTAACCTGAGATATGTTAATATGCGTAAGAGATTGGTCGAGAGGCAACTTCAACACATCAATGTGCGGGGATGGTGGAGAGCGGTGGTGCAGTGGTTAGCGCGCCACACTGCGAAACCCGGCGAACCCGCTGACGGCCAACAAGACGCGGTGACGATTGTCTCAGCCGGTCCTGGGCCTCCCCTAGGTCGACTCGGCCTCAAACGAGAACCTGGTGACTTGTGTAAACATCGCGAACTGGGGAGACAAAGACGTGCCGGCCTTCGTAGGTGTGCCGGTCGCGAAAAAGCACTTGCCCCAAACGTCTGTTAAGGCTATACGGGGGATATTTGCCTTTGTGAGTTAGGCACAGAGAGGATAAATATATATATATTACATAGGGCGTTAGAATATAGAGAAGTGTGCAGAGATATGGAGCATGCAGAGATAAAATCGTATTTATATAGAAGTGGGGAGATGTCGACCAGAGATAGTTGGACGTGAGTTTGGGTAGCACACACAAAGGACAAAGACAAAGATCCCCCGTACAGCCTTTACGAGGCTATCGGGGCAAGTGCTGTTATCGAGTAAGATGAGGGGGGGGTGTGCTTGGCCAACATCCACGCCCGGCCCGGCCGCCTTTGTCTCCCCAGTGCTGATATGTAACATACCGCACAAGGTAACCATTTAAGGCTGAGTCTACCTAGGGGAGGGAGGCCTAGGACTCGCTGAGATATTTATTCGCCGGTGTTATTTTTGGTCGTAATTATTGGAGTCGAACTTGGCACTTATCCCGGGTTCTAAACGAAACTTTTTATTTAATTTTATATTACCAGGTAAGGCACCACTGAGTAATGTAGCTCTTTGTCAGAAGCTGCCTAGCCACAAATAATAGCTCAACGAAGTGGCTTATCACGTGGAAATGTATAGCAGGCAAATATTCTAAACGCGCGTTGATTCTAAATGTAGAGGGAAAAAGCAGAGGGGACCCGGATAAAAGTCCACGCAGCCATGGGGAGAGAGACACGCAGACTACAAATATAGAGTTTAACACGTCCGTAGGCTTTTGCATAAATATATGAATGTGTCGTTAAACCCGCCACCACCCGACACAGCCAATTAGTAAGGGTCGTCACTTAAACAGAACGTGGCCAATTCGTCACTAGTACAGCACACCGGTGTGTTGGAGAGCCAAGCCACAACATTTACAATCTGAGTACGACGTTTCGCCAGTAATTACAACCAGCTTCATCAGGCGACAGCCAGATTTGTGGAGAAGTTTACGTGTTTCGTTCCTTGTATAGCAGGCGTCAAATATACAGCAGGCATCAGGGTCGGGATCGAACCCATGGCCTCCTGTATAGCAGGCGAGGTAGTTAACATCTACTAGCCACCGTGATGATGATGAGAGAGAGAGACGCAAACTCTAAATATACAGCAGGCGTCAGGGTCGGGATCGAACCCACGACCTCCTGTATAGCAGGCGAGGTAGTTAACATCTCCTAGCCACCGTGATGATGATGAGAGAGAGACGCAAACTCCAAATATACAGCAGGAGGCGTCAGGGTCGGGATCGAATCCACGACCTTCTGCATGCCAGGCGAGGTAGTTAACATCTCCTAGCCACTGTGATGATGATGATGCTGATGATTAGAGAGACGCAAACTCCAAATATACAGCAGGCGTCAGGGTCGGGATTGAACCCATGACCTCCTGTATACCAGGCGAGGTAGTTAACATCTCCTAGCCACCGTGATGATGATGAGAGAGAGACGCAAACTCCAAATATACAGCAGCAGGCGTCAGGGTCGGGATCGAACCCACGACCTTCTGCATCCCAGGCGAGGTAGTTAACATCTCCTAGCCACCATGATGATGATGAGAGAGAGACGCAAACTCCAAATAAACAGCAGCAGGCGTCAGGGTCGGAATCGAACCCATGTCCTCCTGCATACCAGGCGAGGTAGTTAACATCTCCAAGCCACCGTGTTTCGTAGCGCTAGGGCCGCGCTAACCACCACACTACCGCTACCCATAAACAGCATAGACAACCTATACACGCGGACACACGTTCGTACACACTGCCTACACACACAGACCGACACACAGAACACACACACGCACACACCGAGACCCACACATATACCTATGCATGACAAACACGCGCTCACAAATCATCGTATAGCCAGCCTTACAGACAAAGATCCCCCGTATAGCCTGGACAGACTGTTGGGGCAAGTGCTGTTAGCGGGCACCTATTAAAGGCCGTCGCTTGTACGTCCAGCACCCCCCACCAGAGCCGCCTTTGTCTCCCCCAGTGCCGCTCATATTTACGCACCGCCGCTCAGCTACCCATTCAATGCCGACTCGAACCCAGGATCCGTCTTAGCCGGGTTCGTAGCGCATCGCGTCGCGTCGGAGCGCAAACTCCCACGTCCACCCCCCTCCACCCCCTCCTCCTCGCAGCCCCCCCCCCTTCCCCCCCCTCCCCACACCACACGCAATGGCCGTAGCCTCGCGTCGCAGGGGCCATCAATTGCCCGTTAACTCTGTCGGCCGAGGCTGAGTAACCGCGCCGGGCGTTATTAATAATTCAGCCTAAACCAACATTAGGACTAAATCTCAGCTCGCGTGTCGGGCCCCCCCCACCCCGCCCGCCGCGT